GAGGTTCGTTCTCCGAAAGAAGAACGACGGTGACTGGGTGGTCGCAGATACGGGGTACTTTGAAGATGCTGTAGAGAGCGTTGAGAGCTGGTACTGACAGGCCGTGGACTACGATGGAGAATAGAACTAGCCAGTAGACGACTGTATGACCATCAGTTAAAGGTTATCTGCGCTTTCTTGAGTGCAATGCATGCATACCTGGTACCATCGCGGCTGTCATGCTGTTGATTTCCTCGTCGCTTTGTCCTGGGGGAGGAAATAGTCGGCGAGTGTACTCAACGTATGAGACCGCGCCGATTCCTATATATATGTGTCTTAGCATAAGGTTCCGAGAAAGGTACGCAAACTTACCAATTGGCCCAAAGTGCCCCAGGAACAATGCCTCTTTCCAGTCGCTGCAGACCTTGGGCATGAAGCGATATCCTACCAGAATAGCTGGGATGCGACGAAACACCAGGATCAGGAATCCCAATGCAAAGAGCCGCCAGAGCGTGATCCCCGTATCATGGGGACGTTGGAAATATTCCCACGGCATGGTCGCTCCCAGGAACATGAACGCTGCGAAATTCAGCAAGGTTTCCATCGTCGAGTTGAACGAATCATGTCGAGCTTGAATCTCTTCGTGATAAAGACCATTCCAGTTCAAGACACACCCAGCGACGAAGCAGGCGAGTGTCTCGTCAGAGCCGAAACAACCACACGTGCCAACAAGGAGCAATCCGATTGCTGCTGGGACAAGTGTAAAGCTTTCATGATCAATCCACCTGTGCTTGACCGCTTTCTTTAGCAGCTTCTGGGACACGAACCCTATGAATGCACCATACGCTGCACCTAATAGGATCATGTATAGAACTCCTTCAATAGCCCAGTGTTTGAGCGCCACGCCTGCGCCGCCGCCGAAACGTCCGACTCCAGTTGTCCCGAGTACATCTGGGACTCCTCGTTCCAGGTCAAATTCTTCCAAGCTGAGGGTGTTGGCTGGGGCTTCAGCGTATCGCAAGAATGAGACTCCGAGTAACAACAGGGGAAACCCGAAGCCGTCATTGCCACCTGCTTCAGCGGAGATGAACTCTCGTAGTGGGCGGCGGACGAAGTTGTCAGCAAAAGGGCCTTTTGCAATTGCCTGAGACAGGACTGGATCGGTGCAGGTTACGCAAGCGCTGATAATGAGTGCTGAGAGCTTTCGTCGGGTGATTAGACGTTTTCAGGGCTAGCACAGATGGAGGCAAGGGTAGACATACAAAGGAGATGTGCGGGATCACAAGCTTTACGCAGGCAGAAGTTGCGAGCCATGAGATGGTCATCAATGGTAATAGACAGATGATCATCTCCACCATGCGTTGCCTCAGGTATTTCTTGGGTAGTTCATATCCCACTTTGACTAACTGAACGCCAATGACGAGACGGGCCAAGCCCTGAAAGGTCAGTACTGTCTCTTCCAGTGTTTACCCGGTGGTCTTACATAGGCTATCTCGCTGGTCTCGTTGGCACTATCACCTCCCCACTGAGAAACGTTCAGTATCTTAGCACCAGCTGGCCCGAAGCAGATGCCAACCATGAAGGCAGGTACTAGGAGTATTAGTATCGCGTCCTGCAATGTAGGATGTAGAATCATACGGGCTTCACCAAGGTACCATCTTTGTTTGACCTTCAGGGAGATGAAGCCAAAAAGGAGAATGTAAAGGCCTTGGTAGGGTATTAGCTCCTCCCCACTTGAACCATATGAATATGGATCTCTTCGCCTCACCTGTAACAGAAAGAACGAGATTGAAGTTGCTAACGTCGAGAAATGGATGCAACATCCCTGCTAACGCTAAACAGCTGTTGATTGGGTCCGGCTGGGGCAAACAAGCCTCACTCCCAAGTCGATTTAAAGAAATCGCGCATGGATCCTAACAAAGATAGACACTGAGGACCATCAATCATTCAAAGTCAAAAGTCAAAGTGTGGGAGACTCGCGTAAATGGGTTATTTGTGCCGGTCAAAGATACCAGTCAGATCTGCCCTGGCTAGGGTAGAAAGTCGGGGGAGGCCGCCTGTTCATACAGCACGGCCAGACCATCAACGAACTCCTGGTCACCCCTTACTATACTGTACAAGAGCCTGGTGCTGTCACACCCTTCCGACAGGATGCATACATAGTGGGTCCTGATACGCCTCCCTTGCAGGAGGGATTGCAGCTTCGAAGCTTGGCTGCGAAGCGTAGATAGGAATGAACCAGGAATGAAGAGGCCAGGCCGCATCCCGATGGGCGGAAGATAGATTTGCATGCCGGTCTGAGGTTAAGCTTTCGGTTCGTACGTAAGTCTAGGAATGTAATAGACCGTGGGCAATGTAGCGTGTCAACATCTAGTCTAATAGCAAAGAAGGCTTATCAGCAAGAAACAAGGGATGGAAGGAAGCAAGATGTTGATAATAATGGAGATTGTGGCAAGACAAAAATAGCATACCAAGTTGATTGATGATGCAGGTGGTTCTGAATATGTCTGTCAAATGGTACTGTGGTACTGCAGCCCAGTATGCAAGACAGCTCGATCAATGAAGATATAAGGAGAAAAAGAGGGCGATTGCTGGCCAGGCAAGGTTCAATTGGCGACATATGACTATTTTAGGAATTCCAGGCTCAATGGTCATAATCACCCGCTGGCGTTGAAGCAAAGGCCAGATTATGCACGGTGGTGGAGAGGAGTAGGTTGGTTCAGAAACCGGCTGCTCTTGCTGCGAGGAGCCGTCAGCCTGAGTGCCTGAATGCGAGGGCAGCAAGGGGCCTCTTGCGAAACACGGCCAGTTGACATATCCGATAGTGCTCGGACCTGCAAGTGTAGCATGGAAGCGATGCATCAACTTCAGCCGGAAAATGGGAATAGATAAAGAGCCGAAAAAGAAATTGTATAGCCGGAGTGTAGCAGGTGCAACAGAGGACAAATAATATTTGGCTAAAGCAAACAAAGGGAATAAGCTCTAAGTTACATGAATCCGTTGAATAAATGGCTGGGACCCGCCTCGCACATGAAACGCTCAGTTAGTCCAACCCGTCAGTATTTGTCTCTCGCTGTGTCTGAGCACGCCGATATTCACTGGCGCGTCAGATTCTAGTATCAACAACCGTGCAGACGGCGTTTGATATTGGCCAGAAAGAACTATCTATAAGGCCTTGTTGATTTCGAGCTCAACGATGCAGTCCAAGCAGCGGCCGCTTACGCAGTCTTCCGCCACTGGGACCAGATTCCGATCAAACTGCTGACCGTTCCTGCAAGACCCACAATACCGTCATCGAGAGATGCCAGTCCAAGGGCGGACACTGGCACGCTCAGGTCACAAAGGTCGGAGATAAGCTGAATGCGTGCGGCAGAGCGCTCCCTGAAAGTACAATGTTAGTACACTGGTTCAGCGCGAGTGGATCAGACCAAGAAAACACAACATACTTTTCAAGCTTCTTGGCTTCCACAACACCTTGGCCTTCCTTGCGGTCGAGGGTCTTCTCCTTCTCCCGCAGCCTGAACAGAGTGTATACACCCGCGACGGCACTGCAGACCAAACCCGCCATCCATGAGCGGTAAGCGTGCTCCTGCAGTCGCTTGGCCGAAGCAAGCTTACGAACACCGATCGTGTCGATAACGGTGATTGTGTCGAGAGAGAGGTAGCCCGCGTAGCCGAGCTGACGGCCGACGGCGAGATAACGGAGTACAGGGTCAACAGGGTTCTTGTTGTCGGAGGCCAATGCAGCTGCCTTCAGATGCTCAACAAACTTGCCGATACGCAGAATCTTCCGAGTTGTTCCGAACTGCTTCTTGACGGCGTTGAAAGGCTCGATGGCGGACTGGGGGCGGTTGGTGCGGTAGAGGTACCAAGCATAGAAGCGGGAGAAGTATTGCAAGGTTCGGAGGAGTTTATCGCGACCGACTGTGGAAAGGTTAGTGATATTCTGCAATCCAATCAATTTGTCCTCCAAAAGCACGAGAGGCAGGTCCCCTGCATTGAGGCACCTTGTTCTCTTCCGGCCGAGAAACCAGCAGCGCAGGACAGATGGAATGTCGGCACGTACCCGTCGTTGCGACAAAGCGCAGGTAATGCGCCAAGGCAGGGTGGTAAACCAAAGCGTCTGCGACCATATTGATGATGGCTGGTGTATGTGTTGGGTTGATAGAAAGGGTTCGAGAAGGTGTCGGTTACTATTGAAAGGGTAGAAAAAGGCGGGAGTCGAATTCCGCGCGGTGTCGGGACGGCGTGGGGACCGTAAAGGAAGGCGAAGCTCTGGCTGGCTGGCGGACGGAGAGGAGAGGTTCAAGGTGTGATACAGACGGGAGATGAAAAGGATACTCCGCACCAAGGATGGAAGGAAGAAAAGATGGGGGAGGGGCGGAGAAAAGGATATTAGTAGTAGGGGTCGAGGGCTGGCTGCTGGATGATAGGATCGGTAAATGAGCGGCCGGCGATCGCCCGTCTGTTGGAGGTGAAAGACTTCGGAAGTTGGAACCTCGGCTGGTCGGACCATCCAAGCTGTCAATCACAAGATCCTCCCTAATCCACTCTCCCCGCCATGCGAACTACGGGTCCAGCTCGTCTTCAACAATCACTTTTTGGCTTGCTTATTTTCTTCCCTCCGACAAAAGAATATAAAGCATAATAATAGTATTTCTATACATTACATCACTGACACATAGTCATCGAGTCATTAACCATACTCTCTTAACTTATGACCCCGAGCATCCTTTCCAGGGGCTCCAATCGGGTGTATTGTTTGTTACCAAAATTGCGCGTCTGGGCGTGTTCTCTTCCGGGGTCGCTTGGGCATCTTCACACCAACTTCGATCGTCGGTCATCGCGCATTCGCTGCTTGGGCTTTCTTCAAGATGTTGCATGGGCCGTTCGTCTGTTGGAATGTCGCTTGGGGTACGGGAAGGTTGGCGCTTGTTAGGCTGGGACGTTGTCCGGGCTAGCGGTTCAGATGCGTTGTTTTAGTAGGTCCGTAAGGCGCGCGGGTTGCAGGCGGATATCGACTACCGCTCCTCTTGGTTGCCCATGGCAGAAGTGTCGTAACCATGAGCCTCTAGATAGGTCCGGAATTTGGCATCCTCATATGTGATGGTGTCCTGTAGGGACGATTAGCCTACCTTCGCCTGGACGGGACCAGAAAACATGGCATACCTGTCCGATGTTTGGCAGGAGGAAAAAGGCCAAAGCAGCACTAAAGATGCAGAGTGAACTGGAGACGAAGAAGGGGTCCTGACCGGACCGGATCTTGTTAGGCGCGTTGTCTTGAATGATCGGGATCACATAAGTCCCAACAAACGCGCCTATCTTTCCAGCTGCAGCAGCGATGGCGTAGAACTGGCCCCGTACAGCGGTTGCGCTGCTCTTGGCACAGCACAGTCCAATGTTGTCGCCAGGACCAAACTCACCAAGACTCGAGAAAATACTAGGTTTGTAAGTTAGCAGATGAGATTTAGAGGTGATACAATCCAGAGCCTACCCGAAAACCACGACGAATGCTGCTACATTCTTGGGCGTTGAGAGATACTCATAGCAGCCAGACATGATAAACCCAACAATGCCTTGCAGCAAGACACCGAGGGCCAGGGTATTGCGGGGCCCCAGCCAATCACTCGACAATGCTCCTAGAAAAGATCCGGGGATGTAAAAGGTGTATGTCAGTGTAGTCCAACCGAAGCTCTGCCAGAGAGGAGCACTGTCTCCCAGGATAATAGCGATCCAGTCAGACGAGTAGATGCTGAAAGAATAGGAAGAAAAATCATAGAGGAACCAGATCAATGAGCATATGAACTGTTTACGGTTAGTAATACTCTGCGCATTGGCTAGGAAAAGTCACACAAACCAGACGCTTCCAATAGAACCTGGAATGTGCGATTAGTATTGAACGCGATAACTAATAATAGCCAGGAAGCTTACTTGATAATCAGCCAAAGAGGGAACTTGTGCATGCGCTCCCGGTTAAACTCCTCGGGCTCCTCCAACTTCAACCGGAGATAGATCAGACTAAGAGGTGGAATGACACCGAGTCCCAAACCAATACGCCAGACCGCACGCAAATGGTTTTCAGTGAAAATCAAAACCAAAATCATCGAAACTAGGGCGGAGACAACATAGGCAAAGTCGATTTGGAAATTGGTAAACATCACGAACCATCGGTTGCGATGGCCTTGCTTGAGTTCACCAGTGTTCTCTGCGGCTGCGACAGACCCTGCAGGGTACTCGCCGCCAATTCCAATTCCCAGGAAGAAACGGTATGCAGTAAGGGCAGCAAACAGACCATAATGGCTGTTATGGTACCCATAGGCACCAGCACACAGAGCGGCAAAGAGGAACAAGATTATCGTAGAGATCATTAGAGACCATTTTCTCGACCAGTGATCACTTGTGTATCCAAAGATAAGCATGCCGACCACGGTACCGGCGAATGTAATAGAGGATACATTTTGGCTGGCGGGTGAGTTGGAGTATTCTTCAGGGTACAGTCTCTTCAAGATGGTATTTACAGGTCCGATGATCTGTAGACAAGCCAGATTAGCAAGACCACCAACGGCCACAAAAGTAATCCATGTCAAGAGAACGAACCCCATTGAGGTAGCCATCAGAGAAAAGACCAGCGCCGCATGCAATCGTGGGCCAACTGCGCTCCCAACGGCTCTTGCCAACCGCAGTTTCCTCCAGAGGAACCGCGTCAAGAGAGGCGGGGGCCTTTTCGGGAGGAACATCGACCTTGGACTCAACGTCCGGTTTTGGCTCCATGCTGACTACTTTTGCAGGTCAATATAGGTTCGCAGCCTTGGATTGTTGCGAACGAAGAGAAATTGGGTCACTGTGTGTATACACAGAGCAATTGTCTTTGAGAGAACAAAGGTACTTTTGCCAAGATGAGGGACTCGGAAGACAACGAAGGAGGAACAATTGAAGGGCGATTGCGCCTATATATCAGAGGGGGTGGAAGTAAAAGATCAGTGGAAAGGAGAGGGGAAGAAACAGGATTCTCGAGGTATAAGTACAAGGGGAAAGGGAACTGAGAAAAAAAACTTTGGGTGGGCAAGAGGACCAGCGAGAGAACAGCGTCAAGGCACATGATGGATTTCCTCTTTGATCCTTGGTCTTCCATTTCCCACGCTAAGCAGGCCGGCGAGGTTGTATTGGCCCCTCCCTGTGTAGCCTTAGCGTCAGTATCACCGCGGGTCAAGAAGGTAAGTGGATCCCAGTACCCCATCTTCCCTATCAAGCCCAACTATGCGCTATTCCTATTAAGGTGTAGTCCACCCCGTCTCCATGTGCTGTTATTCGCTGATGCCTCAGTCTTGATTTGAACAGCCGAATCTCATCGAAGCATATGCGAGATTCTTTAGCCTCGTCGACCTTGTCTGGTCTGATACCGAAAATTTTTACTCGCCCCATAGCACGTGCTAGACGCAGCACGTCCTGTACGTTATTCCAAGAAGCTGAGCATCGCTGCAAGGCCGAAAAATCCTCATGAATAGGGTATACTTTGTTCTAGGCAAGGGATCATACCTTGGCCAGCCACTTGCGGACCATGCTCTCCGACTAGTGGACAGACAGCCTTTGATACCGGAGTACCCCGAGGTAACCTTGCCATCAAAGTACAAGTTCGCATGTCAGACCCGATTACCACCTAGCCTACTTTACGGATATCTCTACCGCCTCTCAAGACTAAGAGCAGACTACATCCTAGATGCAAATGATAAGCACCAATGTCGGATGTGGCTTTCCGCCACACCAATGATCTGGTGGCAACTGCACCCTTAACTGACCTTATATCGAACAACTACCATGTAGGTATTAAAGCTCTCTTTCATACGAATTCGCCCATGAGTGGCAATTCAGTTGGAAGGAAGCAGCGTCGATGAACGGTATCCGTTACAATCCACGGTTTAGCTCCGAGTGATCAAGCTGCGTAGTTAGTTATTAGCCTGCCATGAGCGCACGTGTGGTCCTCTATCCACCCAACAACTATCTAGATCATCTTACTCCAGTCTAATCACGGAACCCACCAAAACAGTCAACTCCGTGGATGATCATCTGTACGTAGTATACGCGCAACATACCCGCGGTGACACTTCGGAAATTCTATAATGGTTTTACTTCGTCAGGCATCATTTCTACGTTTGGTACTCTGTCTCGGTTGCTGTTCCGGAGTCCGCCAATTTTACACAGTCATGTGACATCGACCTCTACATGTTGCAGAGAACAATGAGAAGGAAGCTGTGATGGCTTTTGAACAATAATAGATGCCAAGCATAATAATCAAGCGGCCTAGAAGCATTCGCTCGAGTTGTCATTGACGGCTTGTCTTCAAATCGATACGATACGTGTTGCATTGCTAAAGTCCATCGACCGCAATACAATATTCGCAACTATTATATTGGGCAGAGCCCTTTATCAGGTAATAACGATTTTATTTATGTCTCGAAGGTGTTCAGCGTATGAATCTCTTGGAATGGCTGTTGAAACTTGGAAGCGGCTTCGGCAACCGGAACAATGTTTCCCCAGCTGAGCTCGGGTCAGCTACGTTCCATAGGTGATGTATCTGCCTCATCCATCATCGACCCCAGACCCTCTGCTCCCTTGACCTTCAAGCTTCGCTCCATAGCTTATTCGTTCTACATTGTCTATACGCGTCTCTTTTTTAGCTCGATATCTAAGCCCCCTTCGTCAACATGGGGTCCGATCCGCAGTACATAAAGTACCCTGATCTCAACCTCGCCCAACATGTCTTCAACCTCTCCAACCCTGCATGCCCGCAAACAGTGCGACAGACATCATTGAAGAGACTTCAAGATGTTATTTCCGAGAACAAGATGGCCCCCTTTTACCGACACCTCGCTCATCCCGTCGAAGGCATTCTGAACCACTCCGGTGAGGGTGTCGCCCAGCACCCGACCAAGTCCCTGCTTACGTCAAATATGCTGGCTTCGCGGAAGTCGCCTCAGAACATAGACTTCGCCTGGGATGAATCTCTGTATCAGTCACTGGTGGAAGACAACCGAAAGGAGTTGGAAACATTCCAGAAGGAGGAGGATGAAGCTGAGGAAGCCGCCGGGGAAACTGAGGTGCTGGCCGCACGGGGTAAGCGCGCCGAGTTCTGGGCCCGTGTAGGCGATAAGGTATGTCCTGAGAAGCTCTAGCTAGGAGTCTATTCGAAATCAGCCCCGCATATTGGTTGATATGCTAACCTCAATCCGTGGCTTGCAGGACAAAGCTATCGAATCCCACGAGGCCCTCCTTGAGAAGACGACATTCCTCGGAACGAAGATCGACCTGATGCTGGCCATGATCCGGATTGGTCTTTTCTTCGGCGATACCCATTCTGTCAAGAAGAGCATTGAGCGGGCAAACACTCTGATTGAAAGTGGCGGCGACTGGGACCGGAGAAACCGCCTCAAGGCCTACAAGGGTCTACATCTACTCACCATCCGTTCTTACAACCTTGCTGCCCCTCTGCTACTCGACAGTCTATCGACCTTCACCAGCTACGAACTGTGCAGCTACTCGTCCTTGGTCATCTATTCGATCCTTGCGGGCTCATTATCCCTGAAGCGAGTCGACTTCAAGGCCAAGGTCGTGGATGCACCCGAGATCAAGGCCATTCTTGGACCTGGAGAGGACCGCTTGGCTGCTCTGACCGGCGAGGTATCCTCCGGGCCCGGAGCCCAGGATGAGGAGATGAAGGATGCTACTGTCACCAGAGCCGCGCCTACCACAGCTACCACTGTGGTTAACCTCACCACTCTGGGAGCGGGATCTGGCATTCAGTCTGAAACCGAAGCGCCCGTGGACTTTTCGCCTCTTGCAAACCTGGTCGACAGCCTGTATACCGGCAACTACCGCACTTTCTTCGTAGCATTGGCTGCCGTGGAGGACAACTTCTTGAACCAAGACCGCTACTTGCACGAGCACCGCGCGTGGTTTGTGCGCGAGATGAGACTTCGCGCGTACCAGCAACTGCTCCAGAGTTATCGCGTTGTTGGCCTGAACAGCATGGCCAGCGACTTCGGCGTCACCGTCGACTACCTGGATCGGTAAGTCTGCCATGGAATTATTGACTGTTAGATTGCATTGACTGACAGCTACAGGGATCTTGCCAAATTCATTGCCAGCAACCGGATTGCATGCACCATCGACCGGGTCAATGGCATCATCGAGACGAACCGACCTGACGACAAGAACAAGCAGTACGCGGATGTTGTGAAGCACGGCGATGCTCTGATTACGAAACTGCAAAAGTACGGACAAGCCGTGCGGTTGCGAGGAAGCGAACGGAGCTAGGGGGGGTTCTTTCCAGGGAAGGAGTGGTCTGATCTTGACTCACCACACATGGTTTATGACTCGCTAGATGAGAGACTCAGTGATTTATACATCTTTTGACACCGTTGACCATTGACACTGCGAGCGTCCAGACACGTGAGGCTGCTGTATCATACATATAATGACCTGAAGACAACATGACCTCAAAGAAATCGGCTAGTTATGGGGAGTGGGCCAAAGCTATTCCCACCGACATATGGTAGAACCAGGCAAGTTGTAGAGCCTATCTTTCTAGTCAAGTAGTAGAGACTCCGTACCCGAGCCGAAGTTCGGGAGGCTCCGGAGAGCGTGTGGGATCATGGGGATGACTGGTCTTCATTGGCCCAACCATAGCAGACATGGGTGTAACGCAGTCCTCAGCCGCCTAGTCTCAAGCCACCTAAGAGTACGCAGTGCGACGCCCATCTGTACAGTGTACACATTTGCCAGTCGATAGATCAAATCTCCATGCATAGAAGCGACGCGATCATTTCCCTTCTAACAATGCCCTTCACGTAAAAGGAAAGGAACGGTTCCTGACCCGGTGAGGGAACCAGCTGAGTCATCTGCTCACCGCCCCGTGGGGATTTCCTCGTGGATTTCTGCTTTTTTTCTCCGTCTGGGATCTGCTCTCCGGCCCACGATCAGGCATTCTTTCTGTTCATTGTCGGCCTATCAGACGGCCTTGCCTTTTTCTTTGCTTCAAGGAGCACCCTGTCACGACGTCTCCCCGCTAGCCCCCACGGTGGAGAAGGCATAATCGTGCAATTGGCCGACATATTGGAGCAAGAGAGCCGACATAATGACCTGGCAAATTAAGCTCGCCTCTCGACTGCGGGCAACTCCGCTGCGATGCGCTGCTTCCCGGCCGAATGGTGCCTGGCTGTCGTGCCATCAGAACGGCCCGCGCCATTTCTCCTCCAAGGCAGTCTTACCCGCCGGCACTTTGCAGAGGGGTGAGTCTTTTTTTGTTACTTTTTACTTCACCCCCTCCCGTGCTGCTGCTGGTCATTGGATGTGTCTCCCCCCCATCCCCCCATGTTCCGATTGTCAGACGGCCTCTTCCAGCTAGCCCCGATCTTGTGACATCCGGTCCCCCGTATACTTCCCATACAAATGGAACCTACTCCGCCATCTGGGCAGAGACTCTGTTCTCGTCCTACAAAGGGTTAATTAGCTAATCATACCCTACGACCATCGCAGAGTCCACCATGACCGTCACCCTCACTGCTAAGCGCACCCTGACCGCCTCCTCCGGCGGTCGTCTCAACTTGGACAACATCAACCCCCACGTCAAGGCCGCCAAATATGCCGTCCGTGGTGAGCTGGCCGTCAAGGCCGAGGAATACCGTGTGAAGTTGGCTCAGGGAGACAAGTCGTTGCCTTTCGACAGTGTCATCTTCGCCAACATCGGCAACCCTCAGCAACTGGACCAGAAGCCCATCAGCTTCTTCCGTCAGGTCCTCAGTCTTCTCGAGAACCCCTCTTTGCTGGAGAACCCCGAGGCTCTCCGTACGTCGTTCGGCTACCAGCAGGATGTCATCGACCGGGCCAAGACCCTTCTCGCCGATGTCCAGAGCGTCGGTGCCTACAGTCACAGCCAGGGTGCCCCTATCATCCGTGACAGCGTCGCCAAGTTCATTGAGGAGCGTGATGGATTCCCCGCTAACCCCCAGGATCTGTACCTGACCGGTGGTGCCTCCTCCGGTGTCAGCACCCTTCTGAACGTCATCTGCGATGGCCCCAGTGCTGGTGTCCTTGTGCCCATCCCTCAATACCCTCTCTACACCGCTACATTGTCCCTTCTGAACGCCCAGTGCGTTCCTTACCACCTGGAGGAGCACAGGGCCTGGGGTACCGATGTGAATGCTATCCGTGAGAACCTTGCCCAGGCCAAGTCTGCTGGCACCGATGTGCGTGCCATTGTTGTGATCAACCCCGGCAACCCGACCGGCGCTTCCCTCAGTGCCGAGGACATCAAGGGTGTGCTCGACCTGGCTGCGGAGGAGAAGCTGGTGGTCATTGCGGACGAAGTCTACCAGACTAACGTCTTCACCGGCGAGTTCATCTCCTTCAAGAAGAGACTCCGTCAGCTGCAGCAAGAAGTTCCCGGCAAGTACGACAACGTGGAGCTGGCCTCCCTGCACAGTGTCTCCAAGGGCATGGTTGGTGAGTGTGGTCACCGTGGTGGCTACTTTGAGTTGGTCGGATTCGACCCCGAGGTTGCGGCCCAGGTCTACAAGTACGTCAGCATCATGCTCTGCCCGCCGGTTATCGGACAGTGCCTGGTCGAGCTGATGGTGAACCCTCCCAAGGAGGGTGAGCCCAGCCGCGCCGTGTACGAAAAGGAGTACAATGGCATTCGGGACGGTCTGCGCAAGCGCGCCTTTGCCCTTTACGAAGCCTTCCAGCGCATGGAGGGTGTTGAATGCCAGGAGCCTCAGGTATGTACTTCCAGCGACAGTATAGCATCCTACGGACGGTTCACTAACTAATGAATTAGGGCGCCATGTACCTCTTCCCCACTATCACCCTTCCTCCCAAGGCCGTCGAGGCCGCCAAGGCCGAGAACCGTGCCGCCGACGAGTTCTACTGCCTCCGTCTCCTTGACGCCACTGGTGTTTGCGTCGTCCCCGGCTCTGGCTTCGGCCAGAAGGAGAACACCCTGCACTTCCGTACTACTTTCTTGGCTCCTGGAACCGACTGGGTTGAGCGGATCGTCAAGTTCCACTCGGAGTTCATGGCCAAGTACAAGTAAGCAGAACTGGTGAATATACCAGCTGCACGTGTTATGAAGATATAGAACTATACCATATTCTTTCTAGAAGACGGACATACCAAATAGAAACCCATTAATATCCGAGAACCTGCCGCTTTCCTCGGTCGTATATATCACATGCATACATTTCCTCGAGTGCTAAACTGAGTAACCCAAACGAAGACAGACGACCATGATTTACGTAAATTTGTCTCAGGAACCATCAGAGCAAAAGTTTGTATGTCATAGTATTTGCACAATACAACTACGTAAATAAATAACTCACTTACTTAACCGCACCCACATAGCATCGACGTTAAGTTTTCCCCACGCGTCCATCCCCAAACATCGATCAATTGCCGTCCAAGTGGAGACCGCCCACCACACAACAATGACCCAGATTTTCTGGGGTGGAACCGATGGATGAGTGATTGATGAAATAATTCTGGGGCCGAGGGTAGCCGATCCACTCTATCTTTTCTATCCTACTATTTCTTTTTCTGGGTTGGGAGTGTGCGGGATTGTGGGGGGTTAAAGTAGGGTTTTCCGTATAGGTTGGTTTAGTAGTGGAAATAGCGACTTGGTGAGCTTTCCTATTTTGGTGTCAGGGTAACTTTGGGAAATTAAGACAGTTAGGCTTTGGATTTCGGTGTATCGATTATCACTGATTTTTATTCTAGACTAGCTGTCCTGGCTTGGTAGGTAGAGCGAGTTCTTGAATTTATGTGTAGAGTACTACTACTGAGTCAATTGGCGGTGGTGAAATTCTAAGATCCAGACATTGCGAAGCAGATAAGAGAAATGGGAATTATCTTGGATTACTTTCTTCTTTTCCAATGCGATGTTAGTTGTTAGAACTTATCGTGTTCGGAAAGACTTGAGCTCGCAACTTTCTAGATAAAGGGTAACACTGTGTTAACTCAAAGTCCTATAGTCTTGAACGTGCTTGGTATGAGGGATGGTAGTGTACAAAGGTCTAATGGTTTTAGGGCAGTACTTGGAGTATTGACTGACATCTGGGCTTATGCGAATGAGATTTCTATACTTGGGCTGAATAGGTATTGTGCAGTATTTTAGTCAGGAGCTGAGAATACTCATGTTATATTTATACTAATTACCAGGTAGAGATACTGATGTCATGAAGTACAAATAGCTAGCTGAATGGAAGGATGATCATTCGATGTCTGATGTGAGTATCGTGAGTCAGAAGTTGCAAAACTACTTGTATTTAGTTACGACATGTGAGCCCCCATATTCTGCCATTTATCGTGATATGCAAAGATATCAAACATTAGAAACGCGTCGAGATACTAGATATTTTCTACATCTTCATTTCGTGATTCTCATAGTTCCATCCGTGCAGTCGATCACAAGTCATTGGAAATGATTATGTCATCCACCCCCGCCTTCAGGCGCAAGTTATCGCGAATTCCTCCCCAACAAAGTGCGCCAGGGAGCAGCAGTCTTGTATCGCAAACAAGCACCAGCCAATCTAAACCTCCGTTAAATAAGGCATGCTCAAAAGACTCAACACCGAACACTTGTGGCACATCATTGATTTCGAACATGGGTGACAAGGATGACGGTCCGCTCCAGGTTAGTCTGCCTAAAATTGTGCGCGCCTTGCACCGATACAAACTGCAAGTGCACAAACGGGGTGTAAACAGCTGATGCTGAGAACGAATCGCGTCGTAGGATCTGGAAAAAACGTACTGCCCTCCTCTGGACCCAGCCTTGCTCACAGCCATCGTGTTCGACTATGACCTGACGGACTCTGCCCAACTTGGCCAACTTCGCGAGACTCTGGATGCGCTTCGGCTGTCTGCTTGGGAACAGGAGGATCTGCCCTTCGACCCTTCCGGCACGTCCGGTTTAGGTGCAGGACATGGTCCAGAAGCAGATGCGTCGTCTGAGCTTAGTGAGTCCCAGGGTGACCGGTCGCGGGAGACAGATATCACTAGCCTCACGTCGGGGTTCTCTTCCGTCGGTATAAGGGACCATGTCTCGTATACTATTGGACCGGATGGGTCTCTCCATCTGTCTGGAGCAAATGAAGATGATAAGATTGGCTACTTGACTGAGATGTTCCCGTCAGTTGACCGGTTTACTATCCAGCATACGTTGAAGAAGTCCAATGGGAGCATTGATCGCTCGATGGACGTCCTACTTAACCTATCGTTTTTTGATGAGCAAGTACCTGACGAAGATGGGGTGGTCACCGTTCCTAAGGGCGTGGACGGCTTTGATGACCCCGGAGCAGGCAAGAAACAAGCTCGTAAGCGCAAACCCAAGAATAAGAATGCCCGGAGACAAGAGGTCTTGTCGTCGACGAGCTCCGAGGCTAGCTTCGAGAATACGACAAACAAGTGGGATGCTGCTGGAAAGGACGTTGAGTTCATTCATGCGCGAACCTCGGCGATCTTGAAGAAGGAGACCGTCCGCTCAACTTATCATGCTAATGGAGCCTCACTTCCTGCTACAATCAGGGCTCTTGCCGATACACACGCTCCGAAAAAGCAGATCGATGAGGATCCAGTCACGGTTACGCAGGTGGCTGAGCTCACGCAAGAATTCCCTTCAGTGCCGCCGCTCACATTTGCCGGCTTGCTCAAGATCACGAGGAGTTCTATTTCGGCCGCCAGTGAGCTCGCGGCGGCTATGCTGACAAGCCCGGTGGCTCCGTCCTTGAGTGAGATAATCAAAATTACCACAGCACCCCCGCCGGTAGACGTTGACGAGGAGACTCCGAAACGAGGCGCTGCCCCGGTGACCTGGGACCTCAACCGAGCGAGAAGTGCAGCAGGCGTGCACTTTGCAGCTGGTGCTGAAGCATTGTCGAAGGCATCGGTCGCATACCGACGCGGTAAATCAGATCGGTTGATGGGAGGTGCGGCTGCCTACTATTCCGCTGTAGGACGAGATCACTTGGAACGCGCCAAACGCAATGCTGCTGCTGCTGCCGATGCCCTGGTCGACTCACAGTCTACATGGAACTCGCTCGATCTGCATGGTGTATCTGTGCAGGATGCGGTGCGGATCTCTAGCGAGAGGGTATCCGAGTGGTGGGACTCACTGGGCGATGCAAAATACATGCGTGGCAGTGGAGCCAGCAATCCTGTTCAGGGTGGCTACCGCATTGTCACTGGACTTGGACGGCATAGTCATGATGGCACTTCACGCCTGGGCCCGGCTGTTGCGAAGATGCTGGCCCGGGAAGGCTGGAGGGTGGAGATTGGCGCCGGAGTTTTGACCGTCGTTGGAGTTGTCCGACGTCGCTGATGCATGGCATGATGGATTCTGTTTACCCTTTTATGTCCCCATTTAGCGACTGATGCATATGAGATACCCGGAGGCGTTCATGTAGACGGCGGATCTGGAAGGCGCGCTTTTGCTAGTTCTGCTAGACATTTGTTGTACTTAACATCTGTTGTACATACATGCATACAGAGCTTGGAGACAGGCATTTCATCATGATCTGATGAAGACAAAATTATCTTTTGATGTTCTCTAATTGTAGGCTATGGGGAAAATAAGATAAGAGAGAAGTTTTGGTGTTTCCGTCCGGATGACGTAAAAAGCCCAAGCAAATCGGAGCTTCAGCGGCGACCTTCAATAAAAGCGATTAACTAACTAATCTTCACTTTTCTTCCTTGAGACCTTCTTCTCGTCAGTGACTAACTGTCATACCCATCTCCTATCTTTCGTCTAATCATATCTGATTGAATCACACCTCGATGCGCTTCCAGGGCCTGATCCCCGCCCTCCGCATATTCGCACTACCCCTCCGATCGCACTCCGCCCGAGCCCTCCAGCGACCTCCTCTCCCCATCCCCAGCGCAACTGTCCTCAAAGCCGGTCCTACGATCCCCTTCCTCGGCGCATTATTCGGCTCTAGCGCGAAACCCGAATCCCAGCCCAACAACATGTCCTATCCCGACCAGCGCAGTGACGATGCATGGCAAGCTGTGCTAAGTCCTGGTATGCATAGCTTTACCCTCATTCTCTACCTACTTACCCCTCAACTGTTCCACCGTGCTAGCTCTTTCTTGGTATGAAAGAAACTAACTCTAGTGAACCAAAGAGCAATTCAAAATCCTCCGCCAAAAGGGCACGGAGCGACCCTTCACGGGCGAATACGATGCTCACTACCCTTCCCAAGGAGTCTACAACTGCGCGGGATGCGACGCACCGTTGTACAAGGCAACACATAAGTTCAAGTCGGGATGTGGGTGGCCCGCGTACTTTGACTCCATCCCTGGAGCGGTTACAAGACATACGGATCGGTCGTTTGGAATGGAGCGCACGGAGATTGTGTGTAGCAACTGTGGGGGACATTTGGGACATGTGTTCAAGGGAGAGGGATATCCGACTCCGACTGATGAGAGGCATTGTGTGAATAGTGTTAGTTTGCGGTTCAAGGAGGATGAAGGCCAGGGGAACTGAAAAGGGGTATGGGTGGAAGGTAAATAGGGAGTTTTTTCGGTGTAGAGTACTGTAGTTGTATGATGAAGAGATGAGTAGACGAGGCGAAGATGAAAATGAATATGACGATCGTCGCTGTTTGTGTGCAACCCTGGTGACTCTCATACAATAAATTAAAGGCAAATCAATCTATATCAAACTGCATTGCTGGCACGTGCCGCTGGCCGGTCGGAGGTCAACCCACCGCCTACCCAAGTTCAATGCCTGAGGCCAATAAGACACCGCAACCCGCCACTTGGTGGCCCTTGACGTCTCTCTCCCCGTTTCAACTCCCCTTTATTATTGTCTCTCCTTTCTCTCCTCTCCGGCTGCATTCCCTGGTAGTTCGACCCGGACTGCGTCCCTAGCTGTGATGTCTCGACGTGCTACGCCGTCCCAGGCTGCTCAGAACCAGCAGATCATCAAGAGTCTGCTGAAACTCGAACAAAACAAGATATGTGCCGATTGCAAGCGCAATAAGCGTTAGTGACTCCCCGCGGATAACGCCCAACTTACGCCTGTTGTGTTTTGGCGTCACATATATCATTCAATGCGAATGCCCGGTGCATAATGCGATCGCTTGCTAATATTGTTTCTTTTAGATCCTCGGTGGGCATCATGGAACCTGGGAATCTTCATTTGTATCC